TTTGCTTTCAAATGGTCATAAAATTCACTTCTAATTTACTTAATATTTTCCTCCCACTGTCTCATGTTAGCCAATTTTACTTGTTTCCTCCCTCTCTCCTACATCTCATGTTAACTTCTTCAAACTATGTAATGAGGCAAGATTTTCCTTGTATTCAATATAAAAACCCTAATATTTTCTTAAAGGGCCACACTCGTTCCTGGTACAGCATTCCTAATTTGCTCACAAAATGTTACAGTGGCTCCAAGCCTGACGGGTAGGACATCAAAGTTATTGAATTTCTTATCACATCGCGAACAGTCTTCCACGATTCATTCTAATATGCGAAGCCTCTTAACTGTAATATCTAAAGCAGATCTTGTAATTCCAATGTATCGTCTAAATTTTTTATTTTAAAGCAATAAACACAATGTTTTGTTTCGGAACTTGAGTACAGATTTTATAAGTTATAAAAGAGAGTGGAATCACACTTCAAAAGAGGTTCTTTGAAATAAAAAAGAACAGCCTAGATCAATCAAGGGATATTTATTGAATCATGTTCAGAAATATGATTATTAATTATGTGCTTCCAGTATGTATGATTTGAATTTCATCTCAACAACTGAGTATTTTTAAACATATTTGGAGTGTCTGCTTGATCAAAACAAAATTTTCTAAGTATCATTCAGAATTGTATTTGAAAACATGATTTAATGTCTTACGTCTTATTTTATTGTAGAAGTCTTGGACCAATAGACCCAACAATTGATGCAAATTATGATTTTCTCAAGTCCTTTTTCACCGAAATTTCAGAAGTTTTCCCGGATTATTATATGCATCTTGGAGGGGATGAAGTATCATTCTATTGCTGGTAAATTAAATTCTTTGATCAAATTTATACTTTCATGACAGAGAATAACGACCTCTCTAAAAGGATCGGCAGTAAAGATTTTTCTAAATTTATCATTGAACCCTAAATTTACTTAAATAGTTCATGCTTTAATTTCCGCATGTTTAGCAGCTAGCTAAGCATGTTTTAGCAACAAATGTACATTTTTGTCTCTTTTACTTTGCTCTATAGACTTTTTCTTTTAGCTCTCCGAGAAAGAAGATCAGTAGGTAGACTTATGTTGACCAACTCAAGCCCTTGTTATGACTGTGCACAGGTCTAATCTAACAGAACAAAAGTTTGGTCATGTTTGGCAATGTAGTTCATAGACTGAAGAGTTTAGCGTTCTAAGCAATTGAGGTTGATTGTGTTTTAGGCAGACGAACCCAATCATAAAGAAATGGATGGATGAACATGGTGTCAAAAATTACTCGGCCCTTGAGCAGTACTATGAGCAAAAGTAGGTGTTAATCCTTTGATGGAAAACTGTCAACTTCTAAAGCAAAATTTATAAAACTTTGTTTAACTTACAGTGGCATAATGATATTTATACATTCGCATAGCAGCGAGCCCGTTTTGAATGTTTCATGTGTCGCACCGGGTCTCGATTGATTCTCTGTGTATGCTCGCTGTCTTCGAACTCTAATCCACATGTTTGGGCCCTGTATCAAATATTAAGACAATATGGCGAAAAAGCCCCAGAGTACTGGGTCTCGATTGTAGGTAGTTTCAAACGATGCTTTCCTGTCTGTAAAGGAGCCTTGAAGCGCGATAGTTGCACCTTGTTTTGTTGATTATCTTTTGTTTTTCATTTCTTGAAATTGAAAGTTGGTTAATGAGGGTTCCAGCTTATTGAATAAACTGCAATAGTTTCAGACTGCTCAAATAGCCTTGCGGCTATTCGGGAGCAAAAGTCTTTCTTATTTCCAGGATTCTTCAAATGGGGCAGCCTTTATTTTATTTTCGTTCTATTCTAGGTTGATTGACATAATCAATGGACTTAAGAAAGGATACGTTATCTGGCAAGAAGTTATCGATAACGGCGTTAAGGTAATTAGTATTTCGTAGAACATCAAATTGTGAGATATTTCTCAGATGCTGTCCTATGAGGATCAGTTGGAGTGTGTACTTTTGTGTTCACTGGGCCTTTCTAGACAAGGCCTTCACTATTTTGAAAATGCAGAAAGATTGCAAGTGTATACCTTTGTATTCATTGCGCATACAAGGGCATAACGTTTAGAAATTTTATGCAAATTCTTCAAATAATGCCCGATGTGCCCCCTTTTCTTGCAATACATTTCAATTATAAACGCTCGGTTGGCCCCCCCCGCCCCTTTCCATTTTTTTGTAACCGTTTAATCCTTAGATTGTCATAATACTGCCATTGTCAAAGGCCATTTCGTTTTAGAGACGTTGTTTCTGCATAGATATGTTTAATTAACTGAAGCCTAATTTTTTTACTTGAATTTTGTTTGTTTAGTCAGCGTCAAAGTTTGTTTAGTTTAGGCTAGACTAGATAGTGATGGTGTTCTGTTGCCATAGTGAGAAATGGAATAGCGTAAGTCATTTTTATCAACTGTATCTTTGCATCTAGGTAAAGCAAGACACCATAGTAAATGTATGGAAAGGAGGCTGGCAAAACGAGATGGCCAAAGTTACAGCACAGGGTTACAGAGCGATCTTGTCGTCCTGCTGGTATCTGAACTATATTTCATACGGTCCTGACTGGCCAAATGTAAGTTAATTTTTCTATTTAGAGTTTATTTCGTAAATGTAAGTTTATTTTTCCTAAAATGGGATATTTTCGCACCCTTTTTTAGAAACTATGACAGTATCAGAAAGCCAAGCTTCTGGCTTTGTACGACAACAGTGGATACATGAAGTTGTTTTTCTACTGCTATTGAAAAATATCTTGCCTGTTATGTCATATATGCACAGCTTTGTTTACTCAATAGCCTCTGGCTAGCAATCTCGCAATATCAAATTACAATTGAATGAACTGGAATTTTTTAGACTGTATATAATAAGGGTGGTTATGGTGTTGTGAAAGTTTGTGTGGCGAAGGGCCCGTTAAGATTTAATTTTCACCCTACCTGATACTTTTTGCAAGATTACTAATTTACCAGCTTGGACATCTCAAAAATGTTTTTAATCTCAAAAATAGCTGCCCAGCTGTTATTTGTGTAGTGTTTTGTAAAGCTTTTCAATGTTACTTTTTCTTTCAGTATTATAAATGTGACCCTCAAGATTTCACTGGTACAAAGGAGCAGAAGGATCTTGTCATTGGTGGAACCGGTTGTATGTGGGGTGAATGGGTGGATGGAACAAACTTGCTGTCAAGAACATGGTCAGCTTATGACATGCTTTTTACTCTCCAATTTTTGTTGACCTTCTTAATGGAATTTTAGTTAGTACAAAAGCCTTTGAGTACGATAGAAAGGTGCGGGGAGGAAATTCATTTTTGCTTTAAATGACATTCCTCACAGCCGCCACCCCTAGAATGGCACAACTTTTGGCACAACTTACTCAAGTAAAACCGGTTGTCTGAACACAATTTTGTATGAAAACCGTTTTACCAGAAAATCCCGGTCAACTCAGGAGGTTATAAACTTTCATATAGCCGTGATCTCGGTCATTTCTTTTGTAGAACCAAGACTCCTCAGGTTGATCTGCCATCTTTTAGTAACCATATTTGTTTTCTAGTAATTTTATATGTTTTCTAAACATGTAATATATATCTATTTTATATTTTGTATCGAATGCGGCCTAGCCCAAAGAATAGGTTTCAAATTTTGATTTATCGTAAAATGTATTTCAAGACAGTATCAAGATCAGTTCTCAGTATGTAATGGTTACACTTATTTCTCTTTCAGTTAAATATATCTTGCTCAGTTTTGTCATCGTAAAGTTTTTCACTACCAAAACCCAGACACGAACGTTCTGAAGATTTCTGTTCGTTATTTTGGTAGTTCCACGATCATCTTGGCTTTGTGTAAAAAGGAAATATCATTTGCTGGTATTTCTAGCAAGAGTTGTGATTCTAACTATCGATGAAAACTCTACCTACACAGAACTTTGATAAAATCAAAATTTTCGTTCAGTTTCATTGGATTTGCATGTTTTTATTTAGGGGCAGAGCTCTAGCAGTGGGTGAAAGATTGTGGAGTAGCAAAGAGACAAATGATGCCAAAGAGGCAGAAGGCAGAATTTGGGAGCATCGATGCAGATACCTCAGGTATGACAACCTTAGTCTTTCTTTATTGGTATGAATACGTCAGGTTATCAGCCAGGAAGTCATGATGAAACACGTTTATTAAGCGACTGTGGAACTGCCGCGATCATTTTGACAAAGGACTTAAGTAGCTTATTTGACAGAACGACGAGACTCTATGCAACCTTTCCCGCATCGGCACAACTCGCATAAGGATAGGTGTCTGAATGTCGAGAGCAGAGGTGGAAAAATTTTTTTTCTTTCTGGGAACCTAAGAATCTGGCTCAAAACTTTCTGCAAGATTTAGGGGGTAGACAAATAAACTTTCTGTTTGTGCCTTTTTACTCTATACTTAGTTGATGTATAAAAGAGGGCAAACTTAATTCTAAGAAGTATGATACTTCTCATTTGAATGTTCAATTTGTTTTTATTTTAATGCTTAATTTGTTTTTTTTTTCTCGAAGTATTTCTATAGAACGTTAAATCAAATGCAAAAAATTGTCAGGCAATCAACTTCTTAACATAATCAGTGTCATTTAACATCAGAGATCTTGACTATTGTTCCAAAACAGTCATTCTCAACATATTAGATATGCCTTTACTTAATGCATAAATGAACATAAGAAAGAAATCAACTTTAGCTAGAAATTGATTCATTCAATCAATCATGATGGAAAACCAAAATCAAAAGGAAAATCCATGCAATAATCTCCAAACATAGTTTCAGAAGAGTCAGGGGCAAAATCATTTGAATTGTATGGTGCATTTTATGACTTAGCCTAATCTTTTGACAAGTGAAAAGCAATATGTGGTTAAAATGGAGTCCTAGCATGCAACAGATTAATGTAACCAAGCATATTAACTTATGATCAATGCTGCGCACACCATAGTGCCAGAAATATTTTCTGTGAAAGTAGATTCCAGTCCCTATATTAATCTGAGTCTTAGTCATGGTTTGTCTTAAAAGCTCAGCTGCTAAAACAATTCTGATTGTGAGTGGTTGAGATTTCTGTGAGATGGTGAATGAAAAAAATGTGCACAAAGAATTTCTTTCCAATGGAAAGAGACTAATTCCCACATTCCTTTGGCAGCTCAAATTTAGCTGCTCACAGGCGAACTGAAATAATATTTTCTGCTAATTTGACTAAACCTATATCACCAGATTTTTATACTTACTTTAACACTTCAAAAATTTTCTGTGAAACTTTCTGCTAACATTTTCATCTCGAAAAATTTCTGGGAACTACGTTCCCAGGTTCCGATACTTTTTCCACCTCTGGTCGAGAGTTGACTAACTAATGTAATGGTAGGTATTTGGAAGTAATGGGAAGTAATTTGAAGTAATAGGAAGTTTTCGGGGGTTTTGGATTAATGTTGTATGATGGTAATAGATTTATCGAAAGAGAAATCATTTGCAAGCGTCCCATACCCGGGGCGGCTTTACTTTTCCGTATTATCCTGAGGTTCTACGTAGTTTATTGGAACAATTATTTGTATGCTAGTCTGCGTTGTTTCTGTTTGTGCTTTGACTCGATTGATCGAAATTTCTCTCCTTCGGAAATTGGCATTTTAGAGCTGTTGGATTATTTGAATGCTCGAGGCGCACCTCGACTTTTGCCTGTCTGGGAATCACACCTGCTGTGAACGACATTTATTACACCTTTGTGCAAATAATCGTATTTTTGGTTTGCCGATCAGTAGCTGCTATCTGTTAGATTCAATTTATTTTTTGCTGCTCCTCGCAATTACTTGTTTCCAAATATAAAATGCTTTCAACTTCCTATTCTTATAGATGTTTGAATAGATAAAGCAATCTTGCTGATAAAAATTTAGAATAAGACATGTTGACAATGAGTACCAAGACATTATCCTCAAAAGTACTTGAACCGTTTAATTGCAAAGTTTTTTGATGAAATGTTCGGATCATCGAGAAACACAAAGATTGTAATGGATCATAATTTGCGTTTTTAACAGTAATATTTAGACAGGCTCCTCCTTCATTAATCATGTATGAACAGATTGTCTGAAGGTATATAGATATATATAGTGTCGTTGGTTATCGTTTGCTGTTTATTTTTAAAAGTAGTGCTGGCCACATCGTTGCATGAACTAAGGTATCGAACATGAAAATTGTTAATACAACAACCCCGATGAACAGTACGTTGAAAGGTAATATCCGTGGTGGTGACGAGAGATACCAATGGAACCCGTCTATTATCGTCTGGCTTTGTTTTGGCATAATTGGACTATTGCTAAACGCAGTTGAATTTGTATCCATAACTTGCAATCGAAGGAAAAGGACTGCTTTTTACCTAACTCTTGTTTCCCTTGGCTTCGCGGATTTGCTTGCTTGTGCATCGTACGTGTTCTACGCTGGGACTTTCTTGGCTACATACTCAAGTTCAGCGACAATTCACCCTGTATTCAATACTGTCCGAGTTGTCTCTCAGAAATTGATTTTTGGTTTTTTAGCAATATCGTGTATCCATATCGTTTTTATTGCTGTTCAAAGATTATGTGCAGTCAGATTTCCATTGTCCTTCAGTCGTGTGTTCTCCACAGTGAAATGCCACGTTTGCATTGCTATTGCTTGGTGTGTTGGCCTAACTTATGCTGTTCTCAATGTATACAACGCAAGAGTCGGAATCGTATCATGTTATCAATTGCTCGTCTTCGGCGTTATGCTTATTGTAATGTACTGTGTTATAATTTGTCAAGCAACATTTAGGTCTCCGGTTTTGAGAACCAACAGTACAGCGAGCATGAAGCAAAGCAAGCGAGTTCTTATTCATTCCATATGTGTCACCATCATTTTCATTGCCTGCAACTTTCCTTATGCGATCAACTTTCTGTTCTTCGCTAGCAATCGAAGTGCTTTGCGATATTTTTATGGCCTTCTCGCACTCAGGCCTATTTTAGACCCTGTGCTTTACTTCTTCTTTCATCGATGTAAAAGCGTTTCAGTGACTGTCACCAGCCAATGACGTCACTGATTATATTTCTCAAATTTTCTTCAACTGAGTGGCTCAATCTTATTTTTTCCATTTGAAGGAATATAAAATGATTTACGGCATTGCTTTTGTTTTCTCTTCATACGTTTGATGCATCGGGTATTTCCAGCGATGCGAGCGAACGCTACCTCCAAACATTTTGTGATACACTCGCTATTTTCCTCGTGGGATTTGTGGGTGCTTTGTCAGATAGCCAGCTTGAATTCAATCTGAAGTCTTCGATATGAATTTGTAAGATTTAGCGAGAAAAAGAGATGCTGCCTTTGATCAGAAAATTGACC